CTGTACCCCATCCCCTCCATGCCCACAGCCTTTAGCTGCACCCCACCCTCTACATCATACCAAATTATGCAACTACCTCTGTCCTTTTTTTTAATTATTTAAAGATATTATTTTATTCATGAGGGACACAGAGAGAGAGGCAGAGACATAGGCAGAGGGAGAACAGGCTCCCTGTGGGGAGCCTGATTCAGGACCCGATCCCAGGATTCCAGGATCACAACCTGAGCGGAAGGCAGACGCCCAACCACTGAGCCACCCAGGAGCCTCTATCTCTATCCTTCCATTCCCTCATTAAAACTCCCTTCTCTCAGGGTCCTAATCCTAGTTCACCCTCATCGGGAACAAATGTGCTACAGTAAGTTCTTACCGACTGGGATGTGCTACCATGAAAGGAGACATTCACATTTTGAAATAGGAACTGCGGAGGCTGCCATGCCTTCACCCAGTGGCATGCTCCCTGATCGTGAGATCTGGGGCACGGTGGCAGGCACGAATGGGGTGCCTGGCAATCTGGCTGCCTGCGGGGAAGGCTTGCCCTGCAGGTGCGCCCCACTTTTTGGCCACAGCTGTAGTCTGATTGAATCTTTGCTAATCAAATCCTCTTTTCCAAGTGACTCATACGCCCATTTCAGAGCAAGGACGCACCTGGAATGAGAAGTGGTTCCAGTCCAGGCATGAGCTGAAGGACGGTTCAGCTGGGTCATGGCAGTGATTTTTATTGAACAGAAAGGTCTACCTCTCCACATGTTCCTGTGTGTTTGTTCTCTTAAATGTCAGTCTGGACTCTGACTCAGTGGGGGTAACTGAGAGTTGTTTCAGCTCCAGTGTTGTGTTCAGAGGCTCATCCAGTTCTCCCCAGTTTCCTTCTGGCTCCTGGAACTGGTTTGCATCCTTGTCCCAGCAAAGCTCCTTCTTCCTCTCCCAGAATTCGGAAGCCAGACATGCTGCTAACATCTTGGGGCTCCAGGCTGGGAGCAGCCGTGGGCCATTGACCCACTTGAAGAAGATGCCCACCATCTGGGGGCTGTGACCCCCAAATCTGTCCCTTCAGATTCCTGAATTCCGGGTCCTTTGGTCTCACTGCCCTCTAGGCTTATTCTACCAAGTGTAACAAGAGCACCTTTACATGTAAGAAACCCCAGGGTGAGCTCAGGATCTATCCCCCACCCCCTGCTGCCCTCTTTCCAGCTTATTCCCTACTTTGCAATCCATCCAGTTGTCCAGGTAAATGAATCCTTTCTCTCTGAGTCTGATAATCCCACCTCCAGAAGGTCCTTACTCTGCCCTTATGCTGACTGTGTGGCATCCCCATCTCCTCCCCAGCCTCCTCCCTGCTGTCACCATCTCCAGTGCAGACCTCGAAGATCAGCATCCCATCAGTCAACAAATATTTATTGAGCACCTATCATGTGCCCATCACCGGGGACGCCGCTGGAAACAAGACAGACACAGCCGTGTCTCAAGGAGCTTGCAGCCAGTAGGGTCTTTCTCTCAGTACTTGTCTGGAAAGAATGTGTCTCTACTGTTTGGTTGAATATTTTTAATACACAAGCAACAGATGTTCATGGAGAAAGAACTAGAAAATGTACTTAAGTGTAACCAAGGAAATAAAATAACTCTTTTTTTATTGAGATGAAATTGACATATAACATTGATTAAGTTTCAGGTGTACTACCTACCAACTTGATACATTTCTATATTTGCAATTTGATTACCTCTAGTAGCAAACACCTCTATCACATCACATAATCACTGTTTATTTTTCAAAGTGAGAACATTCAAGAGCTAGTCCCTTAGCAATTTTGTAAAAATCACTCTTAAATCTACCTCTTTCTTTCTTTCTTTTTTCTTTCTTTCTTTTTTTCTTTCTTTCTTTCTGTTGTTGTTTTTAGAATTTATTTGTTTATTGGAGAGAGAGTGCAGAGAAAGAGAGAGAGCACGCGAGGCAGACAAGGAGGGGCAGAGGCAGACTCCCCGCTAAGCAGGGAGCCTGGCTTGGGGCTCCTTCCCAGAATCCTGGGATCCTGACCCTGCCACAGGCAGACAGTTAACCATCTGAGCCACCCAGGTGCGCCCCCTACCACTCTTTCTACCTCCTACTACTTACCTCCCTCAAATACATTGTTACCCTTTGGGTGTATTTCTTTCCACTTTTTCTTTTTCTTATTCAAATGTTTTTAAGCATTACTGATGTCTCTTTATACTTCGAATGCATTTATTTATTCAGCATATATTTATCATGAAACGCCACCATATGCCAGGCATTGGGGTAGGTGCTGGGGTTACAGAGATGTACAGTCTAGTGGAGGAGATAGACATCAAGCAGGGAATCATACAAATTAGACAAATTAATATATGGTTCTCGACTGTGATGCTTCTCATGACGTCAGGGTGCAGGAAGCGTGAGTGCACATGATGGGGGACCACTAGCTCTCTTGGGGACTTGGGGAGGGGCAGGGAAGCCCTCTCCAAGGAAGAGTAGGGCTTGCTAGGATGAAGGGTTAGAGAAGAGAGTGTTTGGGGAGGTAGAGACAGAATAATTCTAGAACAGGGTTGACTCATCCATTAGATGTAGTTGGGACAATGTCCCAGGCCCACCAGACTAAAAGGAGCCCATGAAAATATTTTTATTTTAAAATCAGAAGGAAAAAAAAGGGATGACTGGGTGGCTCAGTGGTTGAGTGTGTGCCTTGGGCTCAGTTCATGATCCTGGGTCTGGGGATCAAGTCCTGCATCAGGCTCCCTGCATGGAGCCTGCTTCTCCCCTCTACCTATGTCTCTTCCTCTCTCTGTGTCTCTCATGAATAAATAAATAAAATCTTTTGAAGAAGAAGAAGAAGAAGAAGAAGAAGAAGAAGAAGAAGAAGAAGAAGAAGAAGAAGAAAGAAGAAGAAAGAAGAAGAAGAAGAAAGAAAGAAGAAGAAGAAAAACCCCCAAACATTTCAGTTGAAGAAAATGTTTCAAATATGATATTCATGTATTGGCCTTTATATTAATACATTTGTAAAATATCATTTATAGAGGAAGGGACCCACACAAGCTAAACCTCCCACAAAAGTCATGGGTGGACAGGGAAATGGTGGGAGATACGACCAGAGAGGCAGGCGAAGACTGGATTTACAGAGACCATGGTAAGAATACAAGACTATAGGGACACTTGGGTGGCTCAGCAGTTGAGCATCTGCCTTAGGCTCAGGGCATGATCCTGGAGTCCTGGGATCGAGTCCCACATTGGGCTCCCTGCATGGAGCCTGCTTCTCCCTCTGCCTGTGTCTCTGCCCCTCTCTGTGTCTCTCATGAATAAATAAATAAAAATTAAAAAAAAAAACCACACAGGACTATATCTCAAGCCTCAGGAAAACAGAGCAGCATTTTATTTAATCTCTAAAAGAAAATGTTTCTTTTTAAGCCACAATATCATATTATACCGTTAAAATACTAATATCTAATAATGAATAACAGTGATATTTGCATAACATTGTGAATGCATTTAATGCTACTGAATCATACATTTAAAAGTGGTTAGGAGCTCCTGGGTGGCTAAGTTGGTCAAGCATCGGACTCTTGATTTCGGGTCAGGTCGTGATCTCAGGCTTGTGAAATCGAGCCCCACATCTACAGACTCTCTGCTCAGCGGAGAGTCTGCTTGAGATTGCCTCTCTCTCTCCCTCACCTTCTGCCTCTCTCCCCCGCTCTCTCAGCTCTCAAATAAAAAAAATCATTTAAAAAAATTAAAATGGGCTAAAGCAGTCAATTTTGTTATGCATACTTTACCATAATAAAAAGAATAGAGGCAACAGATTGCCAGTGTAGTGGCATGGGTGAGCAAATTAACACTGTCAGAGCTCCCGCTGGTAAAAGCCTGGCTCTGGAGGGACCTGGGATGGGTGCTGGAGGAGTGAAGCTCCCTCAGGCCCAGCCCCGTCTAAGTGCTCAGAGGCCTGTGTCTGCCAGCCAACCAGCCTGGGTTCCTATCCTGGCTTCCCCACACACCAGATCGGATAAGTCACTTTCTTACTTTTTTTTTTAAAGATTTTATTTTTTTATCCATGAGAGACACAGAGAGAGTGTCAGAGACACAAGCAGAGCGAGAAGCAGGCTCTCTGTGGGGAAGCCCGATGCAGGACTCCATCCCAGGACCCCAGGGTCACACCCTGGGCCAAAGGTAGATGCTCAGCCGCTGTGCCACCCTGGTGCCTGTCCCTTTCCTTCTTGAGCCTCAGTTTTCACACAGGTAAAATGGGGGGACCAGCCAGGTTGGTCACCTCAGGGGGTCACTGTGAGGCACGCCCAGCTGAGAGTATCAGGTGCTGAGGGCAGCACTTGGCAAGCAAGAAGTACACACGAAGGGTGACTCCTGTCACAGACTCGCTTCGGACTACTCCGCTCCCTGCTCTGACAGTGAGGTGGTACCAGGGGAGGGGCTAGACCATTTACCCCAATATGTTCACTTTCCATTAGGTCCTTGGGTGGGACCCCAATGAAATGCTTTTCCACAGCAGGTTAGCGTGACACGAGGTCAAGAGGACTTGGGTGCCTGGCTTGAGGAGGGAGGAGTTTTGTGGCTGGGAGCCGAGATTCCAGTCAGTGAATCCTAACTGATGTGTGATTGAGACCTGTCACAAGGTATGGGACTCCAAGCCCGTGGAGCCCCAGTGCCCGGTGAGCCATCGCTCAGAAAAACACGTCCAGGACTCTCAGGCCAAAGTCCCACGTATGCTCAAGTTCTGTTTATTGCCCAGCTCACTCCTGATATTGGCTCAGAAGGCAGAAATTCCAGGAATCCCAGTTCCTCCTTCTCCTTGGCATCCTCCTCATCCTCTTCCCCTCCCCGCCCCCCTCTCATCCAATCCTCAGGCCCCTCTTTCATCTGGTGGACAAGTAGCCAATTGTCCCTGGGATCTTTACATCCCTTGGGAACAGCCACACGGGGGCCAGATGGGGCTGTGGTAGGCTTTGAACAGCGGGTCTGAATGAGGCCTTTGGGGGTTGATTGGAGCGGGAGGGGGGGGCTGCGGGAGGCTAGGGGAGGCCGGCTGCGGGGAAAGTCTCGTGTGGGAGCCACGTGTTCAGGCGATGTAGGAAGGGGGGTGCGGATTATCATGGGTGCCCAGCTCCAGAAGGCAGCAGGTCCTACAAACAGCAGCAGGAAGTAGGGGAGTTCCAAAAATAGTGACAGGCCCCCCAAATCACAAAGCTTCCAACCCCTTAACATCTCCTGAGGCCTCCCTGCCTCTCACTGCCCCAGTTCTTATTTTCCTTCTGGTCCCCACTGACGCCCCCCTGGACTGGGGCTGCCCCTAGCTTCTACAGGACACAGCTGCCTGGGTGAGCTCCTGAAAATGCTACAGTGATAAGAACACTTGCCTGCTCAGAACCCTCCCAAGTGGAATGCTTAGACTTGTTTTTGTTTCACACACCCCTGTGACTGTCCCTTGAAGCCTGTGGACTTCTTCCTAGTAAAGGGTCTTTAAATGCATAAAATACAGTGTGCTGTGTTTACAAAGGCAACCAGTCACATCAAAAGACAATTATCAAAATAGTCTTTAAAACTGAAATTTGTATATAGGAATACATGGCCTTTTAAATTGACATGTTGTAAGTTACAGCAGCGAGGCTTAATAATGACACAATTTGAGACAGTGTTTTGAGATATGCATATGGGGTATGAAAAGGACTGTGATATCTGTTGGTGACAAGGTCTCAGGTGCTGCTAATGCTACTGTGGTTTGCTGCCTGCAGTTGTTATTGAAGGTGACGTTAAAGTTCAGATGGAGATAAGTGGAAATAAGATGTCAAATGTCTCTCATCCAGGTTCACAGAGTCTCTGAATTTTATCCATGGATGTCTTGACTACAGGTTAGAGTGCCTTATCATGAGGGCTCCCCAAACTCTCCCCTGTGCTCCTGAGTGTCTGTGTGCATGAGTGTGTACACACACACACACACACACACACACACACACACACTGTCTTTGTAGCTCTGGGACTTGGTCTCTGGCTGCCCCTCCCCCAAGCGCTGCTCTTGCTGAGTCTGGCAGCTGCTCAGCCCACCTCCTAGCTTTCTGCCTTCACAACATTTCACACTGCTCCCCCCACCCCATCCACCTGGTGAACTCTTACCTAGCTTCTAAAATGACTATCAAGATGAGCTCCTCTTTGAAGTTGCTCTTGACTCTAACCAGATGGAACTGATTCCCACACCCACTTCTCTAATCCCTGGCTTCCCCACCCCAAGTAGACTTTTACCGCCTTTTTGTCTCCTGGTCATTCAAAGGCCCTTTGGGACAAAGAGAGGGCCATATTATGCTATATCCACAGTGCTTCACACAGAGCCCGGCACTGAAAAATTGCTGAAAAAAAGGAAAAATGGATGAATGAACAAATAAATGCATGAGTCTGAGACATTATAAACAGTTGCCCAAAGACATTGGCAGAGTCATCTCTACGTGCAGAGAACAGCTGACCCCACTGACAATTTCTTTTTTTTTTTTTTATTTATTTATTTATGATAGGCACACAGTGAGAGAGAGAGGCAGAGACACAGGCAGAGGGAGAAGCAGGCTCCATACACCGGGAGCCCGACGTGGGATTTGATCCCGGGTCTCCAGGATCGCGCCCTGGGCCAAAGGCAGGCGCTAAACCGCTGCGCCACCCAGGGATCCCGACAATTTCTTCTTCTTTCCAAAGCCTCCCCCTCTGTGTTAAGGGTGACCAGCAAAGGGAGCAGGCTATAAGAGACCAGCAGGGACAGGCCGCAATATCCAAGAGAAATACCACAGGCTATGTGGGAGGTTGCTCACTGTAGGACAGAATGACAAGGGAGGTAGCCCCACAGGGCTGCCAGGTGCACCCAAGTCACTCTCACAATGAGCGGGGAGGGCCTAGACCAGCAGGGCAAAGATGCCCAGTGTTGAAGGAAACGAGAAGGCTTCAGAGGGAGTCAGAGAAGGCCTTGGAAAGTGTGTGTGTGTTGGGGTGGGGGCAGTGACAGCATGTGCTCAGGTCAATGAAGACAGGCAGCCATGGATTCCAGACTCAGGTCCCCCTGAGCAAGGTACCTTGAGCAAGTTATTTAAGCTCTAGTAGCCTCAACTTCCTCATATGTAAATGGACTAATAACCCCCTGTGATGTTATTGCAACCATTATGTGAGATAATAATAATAATAATAATAATAATAATATGCTTTATTTATCTGCATTCCCTCATTTCGTGTTCATTAAATATCTAGCACATAGCGAACACACAAAAAGTACCTTATTATGGTTGTTGTAAGTAAATTTGTAAAGACAGTCAAATTTGCCCTGGTGCCCTGCCCCACCTCCCATTCACGTTTTCTTCTTCTATTCTCCTCATCAAACAGCTCTGTTCAATCATTGCAAGCAAACCTCCCTACCCAAGGAGCTGATGGAGCCGGCTAACCAGGAGCAACCTTGGAGGGAGGTGAGGATGTGGTGTCCCTCTGAAACCACCAAAACTTGTGTAAACATTTTGGTAGGTCTGTGCATGGGTGCATTTTTCTGAGGAAACGTTCATAGATACTCAAAGTCATGAAAACAAGACCAAAAAAAAGGTTAAGATCCACAGAGGTAAAGTGGTAGAGTCTTCATGCCATACCCTTCCTGGAGTTAAAAAGATGTCTTCGGGAGAGGGCAATGTGTAACACAAAGGAATGAGTCTCAAATATGGGGTCTCAGGCATCAGTGACAGTTGGAGAGAAAGATTTGGGGGATAAGTCCCAGAACTCACATCCTGCTGCATCAACTCTAAAAATGACCCAGTCTAAAGAACAGCTTTGGGTGACCTCTGAACTGGCCAGAGTGGGGGCTTCTCTTGTTACTGAGTTGTTTCTCCTGGCAGCAGAAGTTTCAGATTTGTCCCACAACAGTGAAATTTTAATATTGTCATGCCCCTTTTTATTTTTATTTTTATTTTTTTTTATTTTTAAAAAAGATTTTATTCATTCTTTTGAGGGAGAGATAGAAAGCAGGGGGGGGCGGGGAGGCAGAGGGAGAGGAAGGAGCAGACTTCCTGCTGAGCAGGGAGCAGGATGTGGGGCTTGATTCCGGGACCTCGAGATCATGACCTGAGCCAAAGGCAGGTGCTTAACCGACCGAGCCACCCAGGCACCTCCAATGCTCTCTTTTTAAGGAAAGGACTTTATTTTATTTTATTTTTTTAAGATTTATTCATTCATGAGAAACAGAGAGAGAGAGGCAGAGACACAGGCAGAGGGAGAAGCAGGCTGCATGCAGGGAGCCTGATGTGGGACTTGATCCTCAGACTCCAGGATCACGCACTGGGCTGAAGGCAGGCGCCAAAACACTGAGCCACCCAGGGATCCCCAGGAAAGGACTTTAAAATGGCAGCAGAGATCTGTCTGAAATCTTCCAACACCCAAAATTCAGAATCGGTGCTTGAGCTCCATGCTTAGCCTACAAGTACCTGTTTCTCCATAGCTTCATGAGCTCTCAGAATGAAGGACACATAGTTTCAGTATTACAAGTAATTGAGGAGCACCTGGCGGGCTCAGGGGCCGAGTGTCTGCCTTAGGCCCAGGGAGTGATCCTGGAGTTTCCAGATCGAGTCCCACATGATTCCCACATCGGACTCCCTGCAAGAAGCCTGCTTCTCCCTCTGCCTGTGTCTCTGCCTCTCTCATGAATAAATAAATAAACAACATCTTAAAAAAAAAAAAGGAGGGATCCCTGGGTGGCGCAGCGGTTTGGCGCCTGCCTTTGGCCCAGGGCGCGATCCTGGAGACCCGGGATCGAATCCCACATCCGGCTTCCGGTGCATGGAGCCTGCTTCTCCCTCTGCCTGTGTCTCTGCCTCTCTCTCTCTGTGACTATTATAAATAAATAAAAATTTTAAAAAAAATTAAAAAAAAAAAGGAGTAATTGAAACCCTGCTGAAGGTTAATTACTGAGTACTTCCTGTCACTTAGCCATATCTCTCTCCTCAATGCCTAGCTAATCCTTGTAACTTCAAATATCTTACCTTGAATTCACAAGTTCATTTTTCACTAATTTTTGCCGTGTGTGTCTGTGTGTATTTACCTTAAACTTTACATATAAGATAAAATCTACCATCTTTACCATTTTCAAATGTTCAGCATGGTGTTTAATTGTACAGACCTGGTTCTGTAGCGAATTCTCTAGAACTTTTTCATCTTCTGAAACTGAAACTCTATCCATTGAGCAGCTCTGCACACCCCTCCCCCACCCCCACTCTCTGGCAACTTCTGTTCTATTTTCTGTTTCTCAGAGTTTGGCCACTTTAGATGACTCAGATAGATGGAATCTTGCAATATTCACCTTCTTCGTGACTGGCTTATTTCACTTCATTATGTCCTCAAGGTCCATCCATGTTGTAGCAGGTGACAGAAGTTCCTTCTTTTTTCCAGGCTGAATACTATTCCACTGTATGCACACACCATTTTCACTACAACTTTATTGCTGTGTGATTTTATTTTGTTTTTCCTAGTGTAAGACACAAAGGTTGTCTTCTCAGGTATATTGAATTTACTACTCAGGTTTTTCCTAACTGAAGAACCAGAGGATTAGTAGACATGAAAACGTAATAGATTCCCCCCCCCCCCAGGTTTCTAAATGATCCATTAGAAATATAGCAAGTTTTGGGATCCCTGGGTGGCGCAGCGGTTTGGCGCCTGCCTTTGGCCCAGGGCGCGATCCTGGAGACCCGGGATCGAATCCCACATCGGGCTCCCGGTGCATGGAGCCTGCTTCTCCCTCTGCCTATGTCTCTGTGCCTCTCTCTCTCTCTCTGTGACTATCATAAATAAATAAAAATTAAAAAAAAAAGAAATATAGCAAGTTTATAAAGGAATCAACAATCTTTCCTAATGCAAGGTGTTTTATAAGGCAGTTAAAACGGTCATTCCTTCAAGCAATATGACAGGAACAAAAATGAAAATAAAACCTTTGGATTTCTGAATTGAGAACTACAAAGCTTCTTTTTCCTTTCTTTCTTTCTTTCTTTCTTTCTTTCTTTCTTTCTTTCTTTCTTTCTTTCAAGATTTATTTATTTATTCATGAGAGACAAAGATTGAGAGGAGAGGCAGAGACATAGGTAGAAAGAGAAGCAGGCTCCTCACAGGGAGCCCGATGCGGGACTCCATCCCGGATCCGGGGATCACGACCTGAGCCAAAGGCAGGCGCCCAACCACTGAGCCACCAGGCGTCCCTTTTTCTTTCCTTCCTTCCTTCCTTCTTTCTTTCTTTCTTTCTTTCTTTCTTTCTTTCTTTCTTTCTTTCTTTCTTTCTTCTTTCTTTCTTTCTTTTTTATATTTTATTTATTTATTCACGAGAGACACAGAGAGAGGCAGAGACATAGGCAGAGGGAGAAGTAGGCTCGTTGCAGGGAGCCCAATGCAGGACCCAGTCCCAGGACCCCAGGATCTTGACCTGAGCCAAAGGCAGATGCTCAGCCACTGAGCCACCCAGGCGTCCCTACAAAGCTTTTTCTCAGTGATTGTGATGTTGAACCACTTGATGTTCTTAATGGCTTTTATATGTCTCCTAGATGATATGTGATTTTTAGAGGGGAACTTTTCCCTCTTGAAATCCCCAAACAGAATATAAACAGAAATATTCCTAAACAGAAATAAAACAGTAAGTGTTTTAGAATTATGAAAGGAGGGATGCCTGGGTGGCTCAGTGGTTAAGCGCCTGCCTTCTGGCTCAGGGCATGATGCTGGAGTCCTGGGGATCGAATTCCACATCGGGCTCCCCACGTGGAGCCTGCTTCTCCCTCTGCCTATGTCTCTGTTTCTCTCTGTGTGTTTGTGTCTCTCATGAATAAATAAATAAAAACTTAAAAAAAAAAGAAGGGGGATACACCATTCAGAAAGACTTTAAAAAAAAAGAATTATGAAAGGATTATCAAACATTCATTCACCAAGAGGATAACCCCTTCACCTAATTGAACCAAGAAAGAAACAAAGGTAAACAGGGATCCTTTTGTGGCCAGAGCTTGGGAACATCACTTGGAAAACAACTGATCTGCTCTGTCAATTTCTCATAGGGGGTACCCAGGTAACTCTAGTGATCTGGTGCTATCAAGGCGAAATTCAACTCCATTCTCAAAGCTGATTGTCTTTCAAAAGATGGCACTCTGAAATGATTATAAGCCATAAACTGATAAAGATACATAGTATCGGCGTAGGGGCCAAGGGCAGTCCACCCCAAGAGGGGCTACTTTATGCCAAAACACAAAGATTATTTTGAATTAAAAAGCAATCAAAGCCCAGCAGATTCAGGAACGGTGCCTTACCTCCCCCCTCAACTGCCTAAAAAAAATTCAGATAGAGGATCTGTTCCAGGAAGAGAGCTATCACCACAGATATCTACATTACACTATGAACTAGCTATGGTAGACAGAGGAATCTGGCAAGGCCTGTTTGATCAAAGTCCTCTATGTCTCATTGTTTCTGAGTGACCTAGCAAACATTTGTTTACCAAACATTTACTCTTTTTCATCTTCCTGTGAATTGCATTCCTTCCCTTTGAAGTCCCAGTCCACTACCTCCTTTTCCTTAGTTCCAAATGACATGTATATGCCTCATTTTGCCTGTCTTTGGAATTTCCGTGTCTGTGTGGATTCCCTGTACATAAGAAACTAAATCTGATTTCCTCTTGTTAATCAGTCTCATGTCAATTTGATTTTCTTAGTCCAGCTAGAAGGACCCAGAAGGGTACAGGAAATTCTTGCTTCCCGACACCAGCTTGTATAAAAAAATACACTCTCTGCCCCCCTCCCCTACCTTTTACCTACTTTACTTTTCTATCCTGGAGGCTCAAGAAGTCTAAATTTTCATTGGTTCCAGCACAGTTTATATTTCTTTTTTTTTAATTTTTATTTATTTATGATAGTCGCACACAGAGAGGGAGAGAGGCAGAGACATAGGCAGAGGGAGAAGCAGTCTCCATGCACCGGGAGCCCGACGTGGGATTCGATCCCGGGTCTCCAGGATCACGCCCTGGGCCAAAGGCAGGCGCTAAACTGCTGCGCCACCCAGAGATCCCTACAGTTTATATTTCCAAAAGCATCCCCTGGCTGCTGTGCACAGAATGGCCATAGCTCCTGATCTCCATCAGAAATTGTTGACCTAAATGTGTGGATGGGCTCTGGGAGGGCGGAGGAAGTGAGGGGAGAAAAGAAGCACAATCACTCTGAAAGGAGCCAGGGGAAGGGGAGAGAGGCACTCAAATAGAGAGCTAAAGCAAGGGGTTTGGGAAGACACAAGGTGAGGAATGGGCCCAAGAGGGAGAGATAAGAGACTGAGCACCACACTGATGGCAAGAGAGAAGTTGGAAAATGGAGAAATAGGTAAAGTGGAAAGATAGAGAAACTAGAAACTATAAAAACTTTGAATAAAACCTGATTCATCCCAAAGTATTCTGCAGTGTTTTTGTGAGACAGTGAGACTGAAATAGGAAGAGGCCCTTTATTTTCTTAGGAAAAGAACGCAGACTGGAGGTGGGAGAGGAATGGGGGAGAATTTTCCAAACAGAGTAAGAGAGTCTGTGGCCTCTTAAACTGCCCCCACCCCCGCTGGATGAGCTGTTTACACCACAGTCCCTGACTTTCTCCCTCCAGACACAGGGGATCGTGGACAGAAGCCTGGACTCCTTGTGGGCTGAGGGCTGGAGGTTGGACTGCAGAGTTTGGTGCAGGGTGGGTAGGAGGCAGACAGGAGCTGCAGAAGAGGGATCTGCCTGGGGTGGGGCCCAGGCCTAGCCCGGGAGTGGGTGGGCTCCAGAGGGGGCAACCTAAAGGCCTTATTGAGGTGACCTGGCTCCCTAAGTCCTCAGGGATACTGAATCAGGAAACATGGGGCTTCCCTCTCCAGCCTCCTGGGAACACACACATGGAGCCATAAAGGAGAGACAGAAACATCCACAAACTCAGATCAATCCTTCAAACCTGTATCCCTAGACACTCTGCTCCTGCCCAATTGGGACACACCACGGATACCTCCCTCTAGCAAAAACTGCCCTAACTCTTGAGACCTGAGCAAAGTCCCTCACCTTCCCCATGGGGGAAGGTGGAAGGCCTTGGCAAAGGCAGTGTGCCAGTTTGGCTCACTGCTGCACTTGTCCCCACAGAAGCCACCAGAGGGTCAGGGCCAGGCCTTGGTACCTAGTGCTGGCGTGTGCCACTCCACCTTCTGGCTGTTGCTGGTTAGAGATTTTGAACAAGCTAACCTAACACAGCTTCGATGCCTTCAGTGCAAGATTGGTATAATTATAGGCCCCCCTTGTGATGCATGGAAAGGATGTAGTACTGCCTGGGGTTTATGGATGCCCAGTAAATGGTAGCAAGATGAGTGAGAAATGTCCTCAGTGTGTGTTTTGGTGACAAATTCATTCACTCCTTCATTGCACAAATGCTTATGGAGTGTCCACTGGGGAACAGTCTGGGGATATGTCATTGAACAATCTGGATTCCCCAACTGCCAGGGGTCATTTTACTGTTATATGGTATATTAGAGTTGTATCATATATCAGAAGAAAATATCTCCCAACGAGGGGGATGAGTGCATGTGCGTGGGTGTGGATGAGGATTGCAGAATAGGTTTGGAAGTATGGGGGGGGGGGAGTTAGGTATTTCCTGGAGAGCTGCAGTGCGAGTGGCTGGGAGGCGTCTACAATAGTGCAGCCTCAACTACTCCATCCCGATGTGGCGGGGTGGGGTGGGCACCAGGGCAGGTGAGAATGGGGCAAGAGGGGAGAGTCTCACTTTTCTTTTTTAAAGATAGATTTATTTATTTATTTATTTATTTATTTATTTATTTATTTATTTATTTATTTATTTATGATAGACACAGAGAGAGAGAGAGAGAGAGAGAGGCAGACACAGGAGGAGGGAGAAGCAGGCTCCATGCAGGGAGCCCAACGTGCATGGGATCCAGGGACTCCAGGATCACTCCCAGGGCCAAAGGCAGGCGCTAAACCGCTGCGCCACCCAGGGACCCCCGAGAGTCTCGCTTTTGGGGCTGGATTCGTTCCTGATACTCCGGTTCTCTACAGCCTCTGCAGTCCCTTTCTAATCTTAGCTTTCCCCCGGCCTACGGCAGGTGTAAGAGCGAGAGACGGAGAGAATCCAAGCTTTCTCTGCAGAAACGTCAGAGGGGATGGAAATTGAATTACAATGAAGCTAAGAATAGTAGTGACTTTCCGACCCTAGTCATCAGGTGCACGCTCACCTTAGTCCGTGGCACCAGCACCCTAGTAACGAGCGCCAGTCCCGGCGGCCGCCCCGGGAGCGCTCCGAGCACCCAATTCCCCGGCGCGCACCTCGCGAGGAGGACTCTCCTCTCCCGCCAGCGGCGGGGCCGGCGCGGCGCGGGGGCGGGGCCTGCGCGGGGCGGGGGCGGGGCCGGCGCGGGGGCGGGGCCTGAGCGGGCCCCTCCCCCGCGGGCCCGGGCGCGGGAGGGCGCGCGCACCGGGCGCTGGTTAAAGAGGCGCGCGGAGGCGGGCGCGGCGCACACTGCGGTGGCTGGCGGCGGACTGCCCACGTGTCTCCCCAGGGTCTGGCCTTGAGTTCCCCCAGTTGCTCTGGCGGGTGCGAGCCAGGGCGCCCCCTTGCCCCCCCCACTTGGTGTCCGCCCACCCTCCCCCGCCCGCGGGAGCGAGGCTTCGTACAGTTACCGGCGCTCGGTGGGCCAAGTCGACGGAGCAACTTTGTCCCGGGAGCGGCGCCGGGGGGTGAGGGGGGGATAGGGCACTGCGCATGCGGAGCTCCAAATTCAAACAGCTGTTTCCAGAGGCTGGAGGGCGGGTGGACGCGGAGCCGCTGGGGCTAGGGGCGACTCTGTCCGGGAGGCGGCCGCCCGGGAGCCATGGTGGACAGGGGCCCCCTGCTCACCTCGGCCATCATCTTCTACCTGGCCATCGGGGCAGCGATCTTCGAGGTGCTCGAGGAGCCGCACTGGAAGGAGGCCAAGCAAAACTACTATACGCAGAAAGTGCATCTGCTCAAGGAGTTCCCGTGCCTGGGCCAGGAGGGCCTGGACAAGATCTTGCAGGTGAGCGGTCGCCCGTGCCCCTGCAGGCGCTCGAAGCTGGCCAGGGCGCCGGGGGTGCTGCGGGAGGCCCCTCCCGGCTCTGGAGAACCCACCGCCCCCGCGGGGAGCGCAGGGGGCGGCAGGGCAGGATGGGTCCGGCCTCGCAGGGGTCTGGCTGCCGGGACCTGGCGCTCACCCGTAGACTCCGGAGTCACCCACACGCGGAGACTCCTCGGGAAGCCGGTTTGTCCAGAGACAAGAGGCTGGGGTTGACCCCCGGGCGAACCGGGCCGCGCGGTGGCTCCGCGCGAGCGTGCGGGTGCCCCCCGGGTTGGAAGGGGGCTGTAGGGCGGATCGAGGCGTTTATCTCCTCTTGGAGACGCTCCCGGAGTTCGGGAGTCGAGCCGGTGCCACCCCTCCGCATCGCCACCTCCCAGCGCCAGACCCGTGCCGCGCCCGCCCGGTTTTTCTTCGCGAACGGGAGCCCGGCGGAGTTGCTGGAGGGTCCCCCAGCCCCAGCCTGAGCAAAGCCTCCCCGCGCACCCGCGTCCTCAGGGCTCAGGAGGCGGTAGGGGGCTCCGTCCGGCCCCAGCACCCGGCTTCGGGGGCTGACGGCCAGAATGCAGGGGACGCGCTCAGGCTTCCGGCAGGGCTTATCTCGCGGAGACAGCCCCCCCCTCCCCCAGGGCTTGGAGCTAAAAAGTTTGTGAAAGTAGCAGGTTCAACAAAAGAGCAAAACCCAGCGCGTCCTTTTTTAGGGGGAAGGAGAGGTTGAGCAGAATGAGAGGTGTTGGAGCGGGGGAGATTCTCCTCTGTGTTGGCTTTGAGAACCTCTCGTCTTCTGGTTGACGCTTTGACCTTACTGGGGTAAACTGGGGGCTGATCATGGTGGTTGGGACCTTGGGTCTGTTTGGGGACCGGGGCCCTCTGCTCTAGTTTCTCAGAGGCTCTTAGCCTTAACCACTCTCCCTCTTGGCCTGCATTAATGGCCTCTCTCCGGTGGAAGGATCAGGACCTGGATATAAGAGCTGGTGAAGGCTCTAGATTGTGGGGTGGACTAGGGGTAGGTAGATTGTCCAAGGTGTTACATTTTTCTCTTGGGATGAAAGATGGCAGAAAGGAGGTTTGAGGAGGAACAGCGTTCAATCTGCAGCAGCCCGCCTCCCCCCTCCCAACATTTTATGATGGTCTAGTTGTCTCTCATTAGATTGGTATTATGTCTCTCCTGTCTTCATCATTCTTTCCATTCCTGGACCGTTGGAAGGTTGAAAGCTTTGGAAAACAGGAGGATGTCTTGCCTTTGCTACCTCCTTTTTGTTCCAAAATCAATGGACATTCCCACACAGGAGCATCTAGGTATGGATGAGCAGCTGGGCAAGGAAAGACTTGACCTCTCTGGCCAGCAGGAGAGGTAGCGAAGGCCGGCAGGTTGGGTGTTGGATTTTAGTGGGGAGAGTCTCTGGACCTGTAGCAGTCAGTCCCCAGAGTGGCGGCCCAGTGCAGGTTCGGCTCGGTTCGGTGGGGAGGACGAGCCTTAGAGGGTAATTGGGTGTTTTTAGCCCCCAGTAGCAGGAGCTTCTTTGGAGGAGTGTGTCTGCCCTGTGCGCGCATATTGGGGAGGGGTCACTTTATAATTTCCCTTGAGGAAACAATTCCCCAGGAGAACGAGTTGTTGTTTAGTTTGTTCTAGGGCTTTGTTTAGAGGGGGAGGAGGGCAGGCGTGGGTGATGAAGAATCAAGCTGCCCTCGAAGTGTTTCCCTCTTCGCCGCAGCAGGGGAAGGAAGGAAAGAATTCAAGGCTGAATGTGGGAAAATAAACTTCAAAACCCAAGGAGAAGGGAAAGGGGGGGGGGTTGTCAGGGTAAGGCAGCCGGGTGCAGCTGGTGGTAGTAGCTTTGGAAGTTAGATAGCTTTCTTAGGTGTTTGAGCAAACAAAATGCCTCTTATTTGGAGGTCCTCTTAAACCTACCAAAGATTGCCCCCAAAGTGGGCAGGTAACTTTTAGATTTGAGCATCAGGCCATTTCTGATTTGGAGATGATTAAGGACAGCCCTGTTCATCATCCCTGGCCAGAAAACTCTCAAACCTCCAACTGGATGAGTCCCCTCCCATCATAGGAAAAACCCAAGAAATGGACAACTGACCAGGGGAAGCATTTTGCTAGCGTCACTTTTTAGTCTGCTGAAATCTGCTGCCTGGCTCTGCTTTCTGTTCTGTGACTTGAAGCATTGCCTGAGGCCCCAGGAAATTGGTTTAAGAAAAAAAAAAAAAAAACCCAAAGTCTCAGTCTTTAAAATTCAAACTTCTTTCCCTTCCAGCCCCTGCCTGGGGGCTTTCACACCTGAGGTCCTGTGTTTTGTCAGGTTCTGAATCACCTTTGTTATCCTAAAGAAGTCCCACACTAGGAATTCCTGGGGTTGGGGCAGGCTCTTGGGAGGGGTTGTTAGAAGGGAAGGGGGTGCAGTCTGGCTTGGGGTTTTATTTTATTTTTTTAAATTTTTTATTTATTTATGATAGTCACAGAGAGAGAGAGAGAGAGAGGCAGAGACACAGGCAGAGGGAGAAGCAGGCTCCATGCACCGGGAGCCCGATGTGGGATTCGATCCCAGGTCTCCAGGATCGCGCCCCGGGCCAAAGGCAGGCGCCAAACCGCTGCGCCACCCAGGGATCCCTTGGGGTTTTATTTTTGCTGGAAATTGCACATGATTTTAAAAGCATGCTAAGGGAATCAAGGCAACACACCCCTCACTTTTCGTTAGATCTTTGGAAATAGGCCCCAAGTTCTCAGGTACTTCCTCCCTGTTCAAGCTGTGGTTGAACTGAGATGGAGGCCAACTTTCAAACCTCGAGCCTTCCCACCCCTACTGGCCTCAGACCACGTGGTCGCCCTCCATCCTGCCTTCAGAACCACCTTGGAACCTTGCTCCCAAGCCTTGTTCCCCTGGCCTCTTGCTAAATTGCAGAGGTTCCCAACAAAGGCAGTTAGCATTGTCTGAATGCCTTGTGAGTTGGGCATGGTGGGTGGTATGTGGATTTTATGAGAGAGGACATGGGCAATTTTGCCATCTGGCTTGGCCATTTACCCATCAAGCCATTTAAATTTGCCTCTTCTTGTCTACAAAATGAGGGTCCAGTGAGGATCAGGTCAAGTAGAAGCATTAGGCAAGATGTGTACAGATGTGACTTAGGAGAGCCAGCATGTGCTCCCCCTGTTAGCGTTTATTGAGCACACATTGACCAAATGTTTTACCTGTATTCGTTCAGGTACTCCTTATAGCCACCTTGTGCATTCAGATAAGGAAACTGAAGCTCAGGGACCTTGGAGTGGCCTTGGTTACACCGCAGGAGTGCACAGCCTGGGGTGGGAACCAGGCAGTCTGCCTCAGAGCCTGCTGCTTCTACACCTTTGCCCTCCTTAGGCATGTGAAGCTGTTGAATGGTTGGTCTGTAAGTGAGCTAAGTGAATGGGTTCAGGTGGACACTGGTCGGCTGGGAAATTCTATTTTTTATTTCCTCTGGAACAAGCATTGGCATGCAGGCCTCCTGCGTTGTGCCTGGCCCAGCCAGCAGCTCCTCTGTGGCTGCGGTAAGCATCAGTCCACCCCTCCCTTGGCAGCACAAAAAAGCAAAGAGTTAGGGTGAAGGGGAGCAGTCAGCCTTTCTCAGCCTTCACTTCTGGTGTGCAGTGTTCATAAACAGGAAGGATTTGAGAACTCACTGTGCACCAGAGCTTCGAATAAGCACCTTGTAAATAGTCTTATTTTAATTTAATCTTGGTGACCACCCCCTTTTATAGATGAGGACAATGATGTAACTTGCCCAGGATTATATGGTGCAGAGTCAGGTTTCACACTGTTGTATTCCAGAGTACCTGAGAATTAGTCAGCAAGCCTTTATTAAGTGCCCACTGTGTGCCAGGCACGAGGCAAGGCTCTGGGAGTGCAAAGACAGGATGAAGACACTGCCAGGCCGAGACTGGCTTCTGAGAAAAAGGATGAATAAACTCAACCATGACAGGATGGGTTTTCAAGACTTCTCACATAGTTGACCAGTTCCCAGAAGCCTTTTTGGATCCTACTGGCCTCCTTGCCAGCTTCAGACTGCATTATCATATTTGGAGGTTTTCCATATGTGCCAGACCCCTCTCCTTTTATTTACTGGACCCTTCCTACTCTATACTTGTTCCAGTCTACACTAGTCAGGCTGATCCCAATTTTAAAGGTCTGACCTCGAGTTACTAACACCAATCCTGCTCCTAAAATTTGAAATATATAACCAGGA